TGATGTGGCTCTTCTGGTGGTTTTCCCGACACCCCAATACTGAGAAAGACGTGGTGAAGGAAGTAGTCACAGCACTTGGCAACGACAAGCGGAAATCGTTGGATTACGAAGCTCTGAAAAACATTCCATTGTTGAAAGCTTGCCTCTACGAGTCCATGAGGCTTTATCCTCCAACTATCTGGGACTCGAAACACTCCCCAACCCCCTTGCCTTACTAACAAAAATCAAAATAAAACCTACACAATGCTCCCAAAAGAAAAGGCAAAACTGCAAAAAAAGGCGAAAAGCAGGGAACGAGTGAAAACGAAGGTCATCATCAACATAAATAGATCTCGTTGTTCATCTCACTAAGTTGATCCAGAGAGAGAGACGGTGATGGTGGTCTCCATCTCAGCTTTGGCCATCGTCACATCCCTCCATCTTGCCGCCTTTGCCCTCGTTGTAGGCGTCGAACGTTGTCGGAGCATAGTAACAACCTACTCTCTTCTCTTATTTCCTAATTTTTTACAGAACGTACAATAAGCTAATTAACCCCCCATTCTCTCTATTGAAGGGTAAGGTGCAATGGGATGAGTACGACGAGCACACATTCTGTGTATACGATTCGGATGTGTTGACGGTGTACGGACTGACGGCGTTCGGTCTTTTGTTGATTAGTCAATTTTTGGTTAGCTGCATTACGAAATGCCTCTACTTTGGGAGAGGGCTCATGAGCAGGAGGAACTCCACCAGTCAATTTTTGGTTAGCTGCATTACAAAATGCCTCTGCTTCGGGAGAGGGCTCATGAGTGGGAGGAGCTCCACCGCCTGTGCTATATTCTTCTTTGTATTTTCCCAGTGAGTCTCCAAGTCAAGCCCATTTTGCATTGTAGACTCCCCCATGCCTCACTCTTCTTCACCGGTAACAGGGTGAAGGCCAAGTCAGGCTCACTCTTCTTCACTGAGTTTGCAGGGAAGGAGGAAAAGCAACAGCTGTACAGTGGAATTTCAGTGATGTAATTTCGTGTTTGGAAGATCTAATTTCTTGCCACAGACACCGGTTGTACAGTGGAACCAATGTTTTAAAGCGCAAGGCGCAAAAAAGGTGCAAGGGTCAATTTGCGCCCGAGGCACAAGGCGGAAGGCGCAAGGCACAGCACGCGCCTTTTTGAAGCAAGGCACAACAATACAAAAAAAAGTCAGAAAATTTAAAAAAATGCCAGAAAATTCAAAAAATATTGAACATAATATTAATAAAACATATAAACTTAAATTTTAAAATTATGTTTTAAAAAACCTATTTTCTAAAATTAAAATACATAAATATAAGATGTAAAGCATATTCGAATGAGAATTTAAAAATAAAATCAAACATATAAAGCATTTTCAAGCATGTAAAACCTCTATTCTCTTTTTCATTCAATTGCATTACGTCAAGTAGCTAATGTAATGTAAAACATATTACATTCCTGATTCTACGAGCCACCTTTGTGCCACCCCCCTCGAGGCAAGCTCAAACAAGTCCACGTTAGGTCTTAAATTCTTAGTTTTCACACAAAAAATAATGATTTTAAAGTTTTAATTGCTTTTTAAGAAGACATTTTATTAGAATGAATGAATGAACAACATTACCAATCCGCCCCCAGCCCAGCCGCTACGTTCAAAAAAAGCAAAAAAGCGTCAATTTTCAAAAGGCACATGCCTAGGCGCACCAGGCGTGCGCATAACCTGAAATGCGCACGCCTAGTGCGCCTAGGCGCGCCTGAGGCGTGCCTTTTAAATCACTGAGTGGAACGGCCGAACGGGTAGGGTTTAAATCATCCAGCCAACACAAGAAGAAGAGGAGAGAGGAAGAAGAAGGAGAGGAAGAGGAAGAAGACGTATGGACTAGAGGCCAAATGATTTATCCCTTGTTGTCGATGGCTTCGTCGTTCACAAGGGCACTGGTGAGCTTCTTTCTTTTGGAGGTGTGGGAGTTTGAATTCATGTGAAGAGAATGAAAGATTTTGTCTTTTTGCATCCGGTTGAACCGGACGGAATCGATTGACAATGAAACCCGCATTACCGTTACACAATCTACGCTCGTTCGACGTGGCCAAACGTGATTGGTGGGTGCACTCGTCCAATGCACCCACGAGTGCACAGAACGCAGACTCGAAAAACTCTATCTCTGGTTGCATCATTGTCCTTTTCCAATATACCCTTCTCTATTGCCTCTATATGTACCTTCACGATATCCTCTTGTCTTTCT